ATGACTTTTGAGAAGAGTGGGCTAAATGAATCCACTCAATAACTTCCAATGTTTGTGATATTGCCCCTGTAGGAACATAAGCAGTTGGAAATATCAATAAATGTATAGGCTCTTGTGGGTTAAATCTAGTAAGTTGAGCATTTTTAATAGCAATTTCAACTTTTCTTAAAGCCATTCTCACTTCGGCTGTGAGCTGATAAGAAGTTGGAAAAGGATATCCCTATAGTATCTGGAATAAAGGACTTAAATATGATGTAGTTAGCTTTAAATATGGCCTCAGCCAATTTATACCTCCTAATAGTTTTTGAAAATCATTGTTGTGCAGCTCCTTGACCGGGCCACAGTCTGAGGAGACTCAGTCAGAGGGTGAGGAAGACCTGGAGGAGGGCTTTGGTAAGTTATGTCTGGCTGGCCCTGCACCCACCATTCAGATCCAGCCCCTCTCCTCCAGAACAAGGTTCAGTGACTACTCTGAACTGGCTATATCCTTGCTTATGCCCCTCCAATGTGGCCTTAGGACAGCGCAGGAAGTCGGGGAGGACATTACAGGTTTTCAGCCTTTTAAAGTCTTTGAGCAGATTAACGAGCAAAATCAGCTGTCTGTGTGCACACTGCAGTTCCTTTTAAGACTCTAAAGGAGTTCAAAAGTGCTTGCTGTACTTACAGTCCAAATTCAGCCTTTGTTCAAAGTTAGCTTGATTTGTTATGCAACGAGCATTTACCACCATGTGACTTGATCTCTATGGCCAAGATTTGTCTATCAGGGGGTGATTATCTCCTTTGGTGATCTCACTGAACTGATTATTGCACCAAACAGTCTGAGAGAAACCAGAGGCAAGGCTTTGATGCCCCTTTGGAGATGTTAGTGGGTGGGAACTGGGGAATTTACAGACCTAGAGAGATAATTAAATTACAATATGGCCATTTATGATCAGTTCACTGAATGTGCCAAAAGGGTGTGGCAAAAATACCTTTTTGGGATCAGCCTACTTTGGATTTTAGTCAGATTAAACAGGATCAGAATAGCAGTTTTCCGATTTTGTGGCGCGTCTGTACCAGGCAGCAAACAGATAAATCAGAGACTCAAATGCCTCTGAGTTCCTGGCCAAACAGCTAGCATTTGAGAAAATCAATAAAGTTTGTCAGAACATCTTCCAACCTCATTAAAAACAAAACAAAACAAAAAAACAAAACGGATGGATTCTGAGTTCATTTGCCTTTGTGCAGATGTTAGTCCTACCCAATTACAGAGTTTTACACTCAACATGGCTTTAAAACAGACCCTCCAGCCTCAATTTCAGAGACTCCATTCTCAAGGGTGGTGTTTTAATTGTGGCAGGACTGGGCATTTGGCTCAGGACTGCGGGTCTCTGTGCAGTAGGGCAGAGACCTCTTGCAGTTAGAGCAAATTAGGCCTATGTTATCTGGGGGTGAAGCCAGAGTTAGACAGGCAGTCAGTATAGATAGGTAAATCAAGTCAGTTCAAATCTAGGAGGCCAATTTTGAGTGAGTCTAGGAAGTTAGAGACAGTCCTCCTGAGGGATCTTATCAAGAACCTGCCCCTGCTCCAACCTGTGCCATGGTAACCTGTCCCAGGTATTTCCCCCTCCCTACAGGGAGCTATAAGGTTGTTAATGTGTCCTTGGATACTCCACCCTGCCCTTCCCCCTTCATCCCACCTGGTTCCCACTTTTTGTCCCTCCCAGTGAGCATTCCTGGGCCTAGTCACCGAGGCAGGAAAGAGAAAGATGAGGGCGAAAGGCAGGAGAACAAAGGAAGCCTAGGACACATAAAAAGGGCAGAATACCTCATTTCTTGGGATACCAGGATACCAGCTAGGGCCCCCTTCTCCTTCACAGGAGAAGTCTATGTTATCCCTTATTAAATAAACCCTGATTTATATGCTTTCTTCAGCATGCTTCTCTAAAGTTTGAACTTCAACATGTGAGGAAGCAGAACTTGTCACCTATAATCAGATAACCAGCATTATCAGAGGTATTGGATCATGAATCACAATAGGAACTCACTGTAGTCCCATTTCAGGTATTAAAGTTCTTGCCAGGGCTGGTCATAAGTGCACAGTATGGGTGGAGATAGCTGGTAATAGTGAAAAGCTGCCATGGCCTGCAACACATATTGGAGTGCCCCTACTCTTTGGTGAGCCTGGGGGAGGCCTTGCCTTAGGTTTTTTGAACCCTAATAAGGTGGAAGTGAGGTCAGAAATGGAGGTGACCATTAACACCACATCTGTACCAATCTTCTCACGCCATGTGGTCATCTTGCCAGTAGCACATCTCACATTTAAAAAGCATATATAAACTTCCCATTCCAAAGCCTGCCGTCATAACTTGCTGATGAGCACATATGGTGGCTTTTGGTGTCTTGGTGCCTATGATAGGGATAGATACCAATGGGGAAAAGAGGAAGATATTTGGAGTGACTGGGCTTTTCCATAAAATTTATAAACTTGCGATCCAGTTTTCCCACTTCTGGATATGTGTTGGAAGCAAATGATGAGCTCATAAACATAGTTTTATGGGAAAAACAAGCTCTAGGGCTCTAGGGTCCAATTACACAGTAAGGTGAGTACACATAGGAATGTGTGGTACATTCACAGATGAGAAGGAAAAACTCTCAATATTTTCTCCATAATGATATTTGAGGTGAAAGATATTTGAGGTGAAAGATATATGATGTACTAATTGGATCATGTAAAAACATATATCAACACTTCCCTCTGAACACAATATAACAATTCTAACCTGTAAATTGAAAATTATTCCAAAAATTCTGTACCTTTAGCTGGGGGTATAGCTCAGTGGCAGAGCACTTGCCTAGCACATGTGAGGCACTGGGTTTGATCCTCGGTACTATGTAAAAATAAATAAATAAATAAATAAATAAAGGCATTATGTCCATCTAAAACTAGAAATAATCTTAAAAATTGCAGTAACCCCCTAGGCACTCCCAAATTACAACTTAACTTGCCTTAGAAAACTAAAATGACATCAAAACTAAAGCAGTTCTCTGTGTGAGACTACTTTTAGTAGAGAAAAGAAGAAAAGGTAGAGTCATAAGCCCCGGAATGCAGAATGGCTGATGACTGTGTAGCTGAATCTGAAATCCAAGGAACCCAAAGACACACACTGCTTCCTTGTCTCCTATGCATAAAATTTATCTATATCCTGCAATATTTACATATCCAATTAATTTAGATCAAAGTGATAATGTGAGTGTTCCATTGACCCAAAGGGTTAACACAAAGAAAAAATGTAAGGTAATATGTATTATTTTGCATTTAGCTTTTTTGTTGTTTGTTTTTTGATACTGGGGATTAAATCAAGGGTTGCTTAATCACTGAGCTACACCCCTAGCCCATTTTTGTATTTTAGTTTGAGATAAGGTATCACTAAGTTGCTTAGGACATTGCTAAATTGCTGGCACTGGCTTTGAACTTGAGATCCTCCTGCCTCAGGTTCCTGAGCTGCTGGAATTACAGGCTAGCGCTACAATTCCCAGGTGTGATTAGCTTTTGAATATGACTTATCTATACTCCAGTGTCTCATCTAAATAAGAACTTTGATTTTTCCTGTGTGGTGGCAAGTGCTTCTGTTCCTGTTAAAACCTAAAAGGGGACAGGTGTAATCTGGAGTATCTCATAAAAACTCAGTGGTAGAGGAGTTTGGAGAGACTTTGCCATATACTCTCTATCTTTTAATCCCCAATGTAAAATAACCATGATAAATTATAGAGTAGAGTGAAAAGTAGCCAAAGTCAGATTGTATATAAAATTATATAAATTATGTGGGAGGTTAAAATGCTCTATGAGTATAGCTTTTTTCCCACATTCATTATTGGGCACTTGTTTCTGGTTATAGTTCCCTTCTGGTTGTTTCAAGGCTAAATAGGTATTTGTTACTGGGCAAAAGTATTTTCCTAAATTTTTTAATGTGAGTCTAGACTCCTTGGGGGTTATTCCTGAGGTCTTCATGAGGAAATCTTTGGCTTCTTCAGTATTTTAGTTGTTTCCTACCACACATGCCAGGAGCCAGGATGGGTCAGTGTCCAGCTGACCACATGGCTTCCTGGGCAACCATTGGGATCTCTCCCTCCAATGACCCTTCTTTTCACAAAATTTGCACTGGTGGCTCCTGGTTTCTGGGGTATTAAAAGACCCTGTGTTGG